TCTACGCTAATTATGTGGGGAATGTTTGACTTTTCACTGGAACTTTGAGAGGGTGGGCATACTGCACTAGGTGGGGACAGACAGGGTGTGTGAAGGGATCCTGAGAAGACTGGGGGTCGCTGCTTCTCTTCATGTGCGCCTCACGCTGGGATGCGGTTCAGGGTTTAGGCCTTCGGGGTTCTTCGGTGGAGGTCCGGGTGAATTGAGGTGGGGCAAATCCTGGCCTTTCTGGGATCGAGGGGGGGGGGGGGCTTGGTTTGTGTGCTTGGCGCTAATTTGACCCGGGGGGGGGGGGGGGGGCCTGTGGCCGGGAACTCGAACCCCAAACCATAAAATCCCTAACCCCATAAAAACCACCCTTACGCCCAATTTCCTTATTCCTTTAACCCATTAATTAAACTCCTATAAAGCCCTGTCGGTGCATTCGGGCCGCCACATCCTCGGGAACGGTTCCCAGACGACGCCTCTGCCACTGCCAAATCAGCCTGACTCGGATGCATTTGGGCCCCTGAGTACCGATGTCCGAGAAAGTGCCTGTAGGTCGGTCAGTGTTTTCCTTTCACGCGCGAACGGATGTTCTTCGCGGAAAGTGTAAAGCCTACTTTCACGAACTTTCGCTTTTGACTGGCATGTTGGCTGGTCGTTCCGTACCGCGGTTCATCTGGGCAGGGTATCCGCCACTGGTCAAATACTGCCTGTATGTTCATAGTCTCACGCGCAAGACAAAAAGGGGCCGGGGCCTTCAAAAGCTACCTGCACGTGCTTTCGCGGAAAACTCCATGATCAAAAGCCCAAGGCAAACCGTGGAGGTTTAACGCGGCATGGCGGGACTTGGGCAAGGAATGCGCAGCTTCTGCCGCAGCAGGAAAACAAGAGCAGTCACAGAGCATAACGTAAGAACTTTGGCGAAAAGTGTAAAGTCGTTCTCGCGGTATCTTTCGCCAGCCTTTCGCGGACCAGTATAAACGGTTATCGATGTCTGTGTTCTATACGACTGAAAGCACGGAGCTGTAGAACAGCCCTCAAGTAAGTAGCGTACCTGAATGACTACATTGGGGGTTGGGGTTCTGGTGTTTAGGGTTTAGGGTTTAGGGTTTAGGGTTCTGGTGTTGAGCAGACGTTTTGGGCTTCGGGATCTTTAGGGTGTGGCCTTTCCTGTACCCTCCAGGGTTCTCAGACCTCTGAGGCCAAGCCTTAACTGGAAAACTTCCACCAAATCGCGTGCTCGCAGCGGTGTACTTCTGAGTCCTCTAACCCCTTACACCCTAAAACTTCTGACACCTCATCCAGCATGCTCTTAACCCCGCACACAAACACAGACACACATATATCTATATATGTATATATACCCACATGTCACACACACACACACACGTACATCACACACGCTCGGTCAGGCTGCTCAGGTATTCCTGTTTTTTGCTTGTGTGATCGCAGCGGTGTACTTCTGAGTCCTGGTCACTGTATACTCCCTAAACCCTGAACCCTAACTATACACCCTAAACCCTAAACCCTAAACCCTAAACCATAAACCCTAAACCCTAAACCCCTTGCGCCCTGAGACTTCTGACACCTCATCCAGCAGGCCCTTTTCACGCTGCACGCCTAGACCCTCTACCCCAAGCCCGAATAATTCGCCCTAAACGACCCAGTCACCTCCCACCCCGTGCGCGCACACACACACACACATACATACATACATACATACATACATACATACATACATACATACATACATACATACATACATACATACATACATACATACATATATATATACTCACATATACACATATATATATATATATATATGCGTCTGGCTGTATGTACATCACACACACACATACATCACGCACGCACGCGCACGCACACATGCATGCACGCACGCACGCACGCACGCACGCACGCACCCACCCACGCACCCACCCACCCACCCACACACACACACACACACACACACACACCACACACACACACCACACACACACACACACACACACACACACACACACACACACACACACACACCACACACACACACACACACACACCCCCACACACACACACACACACACACACACACACACACACACACACACACACACACACACACACACACACACCGACACACACAAACACACACAAACACACCAACGAAAATATGTAATATAAATATATATATATATGTAATCTAGTGTACATATGCACAGATAATCACAGATAAGAAGAAGAGGAATATTAACAACCACAAACACTAGACATACACAAAATAAGACGCCTCCGTGCCATGATTCTGCAAGGTCCGCTGCAGCAAGGCGCTGCCTGTTCGGCCACGGAAGAGCCGGGCGCTGGGAAAAATACGTCTTTCGGGGACTTGGGAGCTCTGATATCTAAAAACTTCCTTTTCTTAGGCTCCGGGGGTGTTCAGAGAGATTGCGGGAGGTAATGCGTGAATTTGCGAAGTCTTGCCTTTGACCGCCTCAGCATTCTCGCACCTGTGCTCCGCCAAGACGAGTCCCACCCACAGGGCTGGCATCACGGCGCTGAGAGTACGCCACGGCATCATGATTCTCGCCACGGAAAAGTGGTAAGGTGACAATTAAGGTGAGAAGCAGCCAGAGCCTTTCAGAGGGTAAAGTAGGCTCTTGGTCCGAAATGCGCTGACGGCCGGGAAGTGAGCTGGGCACTGAATTGAGCTGGGGCAACGCCTGCGAAGCCCTGGGCCCAACCTTGTAAGATTTACCCGATTCATGAGGCAGAGGACTTTCGGGTTTAGGGTTCAGGATTTTGGGTTTAGGGTTTAGGGAGGATTGAGGAGCTTGCGAATCTGCTCGGCTGAGGATGGCTCAGGCGCTGCTTAAGCCTGGAAGCCCTCGACCCCCTGCGCTTCAGATCCTGGAGCCCTCAACCCTCACACCGAGATCCCCAGAGACTCCGATACATGCGGGTTTGGGGTTTGAGGTTTAGGGTTTAGGGTTTAGGGTTTTGAACTACAGGGCAAGTTCGGTCAACACATGAATGCCCGACACCTCTCGGATGGTCTGAACGCCGGTATGGCACTTGGCGCTGCCATGGGTGAGGGTTGTCTGGGCGCTGGGGGTAGCATCCCGAAGCCCCCTTTGCACGGTTTCATGAGGCTCCGACACATCCATGTCCATGTAGCTACATATCCCACATGTAGAGCTCAAAAGTGGCATCAAGGCCAGGAAATCACACGAAGGGGCAATTCCTGCAAAGCTGCGAAGCTGAGGGTGGCGGGAGCTCCGATGGAAGAGTCCTGGGGGAAGTAGAGAAACACGATGTCCGCCGCTGCCAAGTAGACCCTAAACCCGGAACCCCAAAACCTGATTCCCTAAACCCCACACCCTTTTAAAGGGGTTTTGCGGTCTCGGGCCTTGACTTCGGGTTGTGGTCTCTTGCACATGAAGCGCCTCTTTTGCGAGCGCGCGTGCACACCCGGTCGGCTTGCTCCCACATGGGTCCACGTACCTGTATAGCAGATACTTGGGCCTCAAAAGGCTCACGCTGTATAGGGCCCAAGTATAAATCTACACATAGACGTATACCCTATACTTCTAGGGACCCAATAGTTGAGTCCTTCTGGAAGTATAGGGACATGGACACGGACCTGCGGTTGCGCATGGCAGTTCGGGCCCCTCAACGCAAGGCTCAGCGGCATCCGTTGTTGAACTGAGCGTCCCCGTTCTCCTGGCAGCATCAGCCTCTTTAATCAGGGGTTCCCTTGCTACCCTATACTGCCCCCTAGGTTCCCCCCAGAAACAAGGCTATTTAGGGATAATCAAGCCTAATTCAGGTCAGCTTAGGGGGGGAACCTGGGGGGGGGGGGGGCAAGGTAGCATAGAAGGGGGGTAGTCGGGAAACCCATGGTTTAACCGCAAAGCCCAAGACCTCCCAAAGCCCTCGACGTAAATAAAACACACAGTAGCCATTGCCGTAAGAGTGAAGCCCTTGGTCATACCAAGAACTATATAGGAACTACATAGCGGTAAGTGGGAAAAAGCCCTAAAGCGCTCTAAGCCCTAACACCTGAAGGCTCTAGCACTACTCCTAGAGGGGCCACTGAACCAACTGAAAGCAAAAAGCAAACAGAGTCCCAGGTAACAATGTCAACTCAGAAGCCCTTGATTCCCGCCCTCAAACCAGCAGCCCTCCTTTTGAACTCTCTCCACGTCCCGAGCTCGCAGAGCCTAGCCCTAAACCCTTTAACCCTAAACCCTAAACCCTAACCCCTAAACCCTAAACCCCTAAACCCCTAAACCCCTCACAGAATCCCTGGCAGGCTCCACGCTTCCTTGTCGTAGTTTCCTCCATTGCCGGGCTCGAGCTTCCTGAGCTTAGGGTTTAGGGGTCAAGGGGTTCAGGGTTTAGGGTTTTCTTAGGGGACTTTTGAATGGGAACCCCAACCAGGGAACCCCATGAGTATAGTGGGAATGCAATAAGAATGTGGCAGGAATGTAAGAAGAATATACCTACCAGGGTCCTTAGTAGGATCCATTTAGAGTCTTAGGGTTTGGGGGGTCTAGGGGGGTTAGGGGTTTAGGGGATTAGCGGGGTTTCAGGAGTGTTAGGGTCTAGGCTGGGGGTGTTTAAGGGCTTAGGGGTGTAGAGGATTAGGTTTTAGGGTTTAGGGATAGGGCTTAAGGAGCTTAAGGAGTTTAGGAAGTTTGGAGATTGGAGTTTAAGGTTTAGGTAAATGGCGGTCCGCCGCAACACAAGCCTCTGAAGTTCCAGCCGTGTGCTTGTCACCCGGCTGGAATCACAGGTCGCAAGCTACAATTGAAGTCCTCGTGTTCGTTTAGGCAACGAATAATCCGAGAAAGCAACCCTCCCGTTGTCTAACACGCGGCACTTCCTGTCAATGTGTATGTGCAATGAAGTTCGACTATATACCCGATTATGTCACTGGTCTCTACTATCTACTCCTCAACCCGTTTACACCCACAAGCAAGACGCATGTCAATGTGAAGGGGAGACAAATTCAAGAAAAGTGGATCATCCCCTCATTCGCACCATAGGCCCCTAAAACCATGGGACCCTCTATACTAATTCTTCTCAGACAAGGAGGTGCGGATATCAACCATGTATCAATGTACGTAAGGTTTGGGTCTGTAGAAGTGCAAGAGCAACCTGACTTCCGCCGGCCTGAATTCACATGGGCAGTTTGATGGGTCCTTATGTGATGATATGGCCCCTTACAGCATATTTAGCGTGCGTACCCCAAAAACTGGACAATAATGTACGTACAGAGGGGCACGTTCGCGCAAAAGACGAGGAGGTTCAAGTTACAACAGAAGACGCTTGAGGTTTGAGCGCAGACCGGACCACTACGCGAACCCTGAGCCCAACCCACTCCAAACCGAAGCTTGAACGAGCTTCACCCGAAACCCGTTTGTGAGGTCAGACTCTGAACCTAAGCTCCTAAAACTTGAAACTTCCTTGGAGGTTCATGGGTAGTTATAGGTGGGGCTTTAAGTAGGGTAACGAGTAACTATAGTTGGACCTGGTTACAAGGTTTTGAGGGTACTTCATAACCCTACTTCTAACTACCCAGAAACCGGCAAGTGGCTGGTAGATCCGCCACTTCTTGCCGCCATCCTTCGAACAGCGTCGCCGCCTCCGTCCGCCATCGTAGCCACGGACGAAGACTTTCTGGGGCTGTCGGCGTCGGCCTCCCGAAAGAGCCGAATGGCTTAGGGATTCTCTGTAGAGTTTCGGGTGTGGGATGTGTAGGGTTAATGCTCATTCCATTAGGTAAAAAACGCACACGATCTACAAGAGTTGCGGATGTGACTTCGGCGATAAGTCTGACAGCGACTCTGCCTGGGACGAGAGCAGCCGCAAATGCGTAGTTTGGTGTCACGAAAACTATCGTGTTTGCATGTTCTCGTGCAATGAGTGCGACTGTGGCCAATGATTACTTGCCATTGGTACTACGGGCCCAAAACAAGGCTTCCATCAATAGGACAAGGGAACTCAGTAGCCCAGCCAGAACATTAGGGATTTCCTAGAATAGAGGTACCCGTTTGTGGGTTCACCAAGGGCTGAAGCACTTGGGGTACAGAGGGGATCCCTATTGTTAAAACAGATACCCATATGACAGAGAGAGAGAGAGGGAGCTTTGTGGAGTATTACAAACAAAAAGCAGCCCAAAGAGGGCCGGGGCAAAGATGAGGCACAGAGCGGACTCGGATTCTGTAGGCTACCAGCACGTTTTGTCCTTGACTCAAGCCGCAACTCAACTCTCAACCCCATGACCCCTGAACACCCTAAAATCCAAAGCCGCAAAAATGTATCTGACCCCCGAACCCGGAGCCCTGAATGCAAAAACCCCAAACCCTCGAACTCCCCCAAGCCCTAAACCCCAAACCCTAAACCCCAAACCCTCGAACTCTGAAGCACAAACCGCCTTGGTCGAGCGTCGCGCCGCCACTGGAGCTCTGCAAGCAAACCTCCCAAGGCTCCATGGTGTGCACGCGGTTGGGGTTTAGGGTTTAGGGTTTAGGGTTTAGGGTTTGGGGTTTGGGGTTTGGGGTTTGGGGTTTGGGGTTTGGGGTTTGGGGTTTGGGGTTTGGGGTTTGGGGTTTGGGGTTTGGGGTTTGGGGTTTAGGGTTTTTAGTTTTTAGGGTTTTTAGGGTTCTTAGGGTTTTTAGGGTTTTTATGGTTTTTAGGGTTTTATAGGGTTTTTAGGGTTTATATGGTTTATAGGATTTAGGGTTTTAGGAATTCAGGGATTCGGGGCTCAGTATGTGCTTTGCCCGCTGGCATGTTGAGCCCCAATGACGGAAAGTTTGCCAGCTTAAATCAGGATCCAGCCGGCTGTCAGGGGAGTGGCTCCGTGGGCTGCGACTGTTCAGGGGACTAAACCCTAAACCCTAAACCCTAGACCCTAGATCCGGGGGGAGTCGATTGAAGAGGGCACAATGTTGCTGCTCGGCATCTCCTGCCCCAACATCGGAAAGTCCCGCAGAGAAGTGCTACAGAGAACCCCCGAGTAATATAGGGGCAAAGGGGTTTAGTTTAAAGGGGAACCTAAGCCCAACAACAAAGGGAACAAGGGCCTAGGGGCCTGAAGAATTAGAAGAGGTCACTATACTGCAACTATGAAGGGACCCTTAGGGAATACCATTAGTAAGCATTCCGACTCGTGTGGCCTGTTTCCTTCAAGTCCCTACAGTGCCCGTCAGGGCTGCTTGGTTTCAGGTTGGGGGGATATTTGAAACATCTAAGGGTTCAGCTCTTTTGAAGGGCTTCCGAGGCTATTTTGAGGTGTTGCTACAAGTAAACCCTAAACCTCCAGAGTCCTTATCAAATTCAAGTGCCCGCACCTTAACCATGCCGAAATGCCGGGAGCCCCGAACAACCGAGCCCACGCCTGTCCGTAGGGCCCGGTGACGTCCCGGATGTAGATTTTGAACCTGGAGTTTCGGGGAGGGTTCGGGGGTTTTGGGGATTTTGGGGACGGGAGCGGGCGCTTTGCGCGAATAAGGCCTAGGGTCCCAGTAAGTATCTCACTTGGGGATATAATGCATAAGGCCTGTGGGATCTTAGGCTCTCTGGGTACTAGGATCCCTTGCAAACAACATAGCAAGAAGGAATACAGAGAACCCAGCAGGGCTCTGTTGGATTCCTTAAAAAAAGCAGGCCTCCGCGGTCGAAGGGGCTGGGATGACTCACTACCCGGTAGCTTTCCCCAGGGTCCTAGCCAACCCTGAACCCTAAACCCTAAACCCTAAACCCATAGCCCATCTAAACCTCTCTTTTATATGTTAATTTAAGCTTTAATGACTTTGTGGTTCAAGGCCAAAAATTTCGCGGTTCAGGGCCAAAAACTCAAGGCCAATGATTCGTGGTTCAAGGCAAAAAACCGTGGTTCAAGGCAACGCCTCGAGTTTAGGGTTTCAGAGCCTCAAGGCCTGGGGTTTAGGGTTTCAGGGCCTCAAGGCCTGGCGTTTAGGGTTTCAGGGCCTCAAGGCCTGGGGTTAGGGTTTCAGGGCCTCAAGGTGTGGAGTTTAGTGTTTCAAGGCCTCAAGGCCTGGCGTTTAGGGTTTCAGGGCCTCAAAGCCTGGTGTTTAGGCTTTCAGGGCCTCAAGGCCTGGAGTTTAGCCTCAAGGCCTAGCGTTTAGGGTTAGAGTTTCAAGGCCTCAAGGCCTGGGGTTTAGGGTTGCAAGGCCTCAAGGACTTTGAAGCTGAGATGATTGGAGAATACCTCTTGTTTTCGGAATGTTATGGGATTCTCCGGGTGGGTGGGTGTTATATCATGAACGAAAATATAAAGCTTTACTATAAGGCTGCTCGATCCGGAGAAGCTGATCCCTAAACCCTAAACCCTAAACCCTAAACTCGCCTCAACCCCTCCCCTCCTCAGAGAGGCGCCTCTCCGTAGAAGTCTTCGAGATTCCGATGGAGGCCGTCGACTGCCCGGGCTTGGCAAAGTACATCTGCTGATCGTGCCTGAACGCATTGTTGGGGTCCCTAAAGGACGGAGGGGTTTTTGCTTTTAAAAGGTGTGGCCCGAGCCTATTTTTTTAAAGGTGCGGCTCGACTTGGCTTGGCAAATGCTGCAAATAGCACTTCTGTGTTTTCAGAGGCTGCAAATACTGCGAATAGCAGCATTTCTGCGTTGTCAGAGACTTCAAATACTGTAAATAGCAGCAGCATTTCTGCGTTGTCAAAGGCTGCAAATACTGTAAATAGCAGCATCTCTGCGTTGTCAGAGACTTCAAATACTGTAAATAGAAGCATTTCTGCGTTGTCAAAGGCTGCAAAACTGTAAATAGCGGCATTTCTGCGTTGTCAGAGGCTTCAAATACTGTAAATCGCAGCATTTCTGTGTTTTCAGAACAGATACTGTAAATAGCAGCTTTTCGCTTTCGCTTTCGCCCGTTCGGGTCCACGTGAAACATTACAAGCATCAGGCTGTTCCTGCAGTTGATGGACCACGGTCCTAAAGGTACATGGGGGATGGGGGCGTGCTTGAGTGGTGGCACGACTCGGTCTATACATTCGCAAAGCGTTGTACGTACTGGCTTGCAGCGGGCGGCCAATTTGCTGTTCCGGCAATATCAGTCCACGTAGATTTTAGAGTTTTAGAGGCTGCAAATGCTTTTCTGAGAAGTACTGTATACATACTGTACATAGCAGCATTTCTGAGTTTTCAGACGCTGCAAAAACTGTATGAAGCGGCATTTCTGAATTTTCAGCAGCTGCAAATGCTGTGAGTGCCAGCATGAGACAAAACAAACGGAATGTAAAAAAAGGGGGGGGGGGGGGGGGGGGGGGGGGGCGCAGCCCCCCCATTTGCAAACAAAATGCTCGAACGATGGGTTTGGAGAGGATTCAGGTGGTGCACGGCTCACGAAAGCGGGGGGCTTGGGGGGTCACGACCATTTGCAAACAGAATGCTCGCAGGATGGGTTTGGAAGGGATTCATAGGTGAAGGAAGCTTGCACGGCTTAAGAAGCCCCATTTGCAAACACTATGCCGGCATCATGGGTTTGGAAGGCAATCATATGCTTTGACGCATGCAGCACGGCCTAGTTGAGCAGGGGATTGGGGCTTTGAAGCGGTTTGGACGGATTCATATGTTTTGAAACAAGCTTTGCACGGCTTCAGAAATGGACCGAGGGACGACCAGGGCCGAGCACGGGACCACGGGACCACGGGACCACGGGACCACGGGACCACGGGACCACGGGACCACGGGACCACGGGACCACGGGACCACGGGACCACGGGACCACGGGACCACGGGACCACGGGACCACGGACCAGAGGATTACGTTACCAGAGGACCAAATGACCTCCAGACCCAAAGACAAAGGACTAAAGGACCAGAGGACCAGAGCACCACGGGACCAGAGGACCAAAGCACCAGAGGACCCGAGCCACACCTTTCAGAAAAGAAGGCCGAGCCACACAAAAAAAAAAACTTGGCCCGTCCCTAAACCCTCAACCATAAACCCTAAATCCTAATCCCTAA